AAATAGGTCAAATAAATGGATCGATATGAATCCAACTAAATACGGCATGAATTCACTTAACACAATTTACATGTAACATGAAACCAACATGACACACAATTAGTTATTCACTATTATAAATAAACTAAGTATAAATTAAATAAATTTTAAGAAGATATTCTTTGCAATTGCCAGCCCTATGCAACATAAACAGTAATATAAAGTTTGGCCTTGACTACAGTACCAAAAAAATTTTAGTACTATACCTCTAATTTTTATTATTTTAATAAATATTTTTATAATTTTTGTGTGTCATTTTATAACCAGAAAAATTATAATTTTTGTGAAATTATTGTTCTCGTAATTATTTTTATAATTTTTGTGATACTTGCGATAGATTTTAAGTACTATAAAAGTGTTAAATTGCACGATACCATTTTTTTTTCCCGATATTGTAGACTTTTCCATACAATTTTCACAAACAATATTAAAAAGGTTTCAAGTGGGAGGTTAGTTTGTATTCCATTGACTTTCGCCATCACAATTTTACCTCTAAAAAGTGAATAGCCTAGTTTCTACTTTGACTAACAAAGTTGGCTAGAGAGTGAAAATGGGACCAACTCCACTGCAAGTCACAAGGGACCACCAATCTAAACCATACACTTTGGTGGGCCATCTTCACAAATTGGTAATTTTGCATCTCTTTGTCATATCATTTCAGTTGTGTAAGCCAAGAATGTGGTAGATATAAGTTAGTTTCAAGTTCATTTCAAGACTTTGAATCTCTCTCTCTCTATCGCGATTACGAGATGGTGTGGGGTCAGGGCCCCACAACACCTCCGTTCCACGAATCTCTCCACTAACCCTTGGGTATTATTATGTCTGGATCATAGTTCAAAAGTAAAGACCTAAGATCATTATGTGCAAAAAATTTAGGGTTGATCCAAAATGTTCTAGATGGATTCTAAATAGATTCGGTTTAGTTGTTATTTAATATGTTTGAGTCGTGACTTGTATATTAGATCGTAACTTACGATATTTTATTAAAAAGTTACTCATTAATACTGTAAAAAAAAAATTCAAGATCAAGGATAAAAAATCGTTTCAGTGTATTATTTCGGTCACTTAGGAAACGAAAATTTTTCGACGTGTTTCAGGAATGTTTCGATCCGTTTTGAAAATATAATGAAAAAAATAAAAAATTTAAAAATTATTTTTCTAAAACATTGATAAAAATATATCAAAATATCTTGAAATCCCTTGAAACATTTCAAAACAATTGTACAAATGTATTGAAATGTTATAATATATATAGAAATATTATGGAATACCTCAAAATATCAAAATTTCGATTCCATCTTTATTTTCGTTTCGATCTCCTTGGAAACAGAAAAGTTTCAGACGTTTTGAAACGAAACAATATTTTGATCCTTCTTCGAGATATACATTACCCAATTTTTTTTTTAGCAAAAAAAAATTAATTCTTTTTACCTAGCCAAAGGGAATGTATCCAATTTGTTCCCTTTGTAATTAAAGGTGTTAGAAGAAATGGATTGGATAGAATTTCCGTACGATTATCTCATAGTTGAACCCACGATGGTACAATCCTTGGACACTTTTATCATTATACCAAATGATCTAGTTTTTATGCAAATAAAGTATAATTATTTTTATTCATTGTTGTGGGGTATGTTTGTGTGTGCGAGAGAGAGAGAGAGAGAGAGAGAGAGGGGGTTGCGCATGCTAACACCGACAGGAGAAGAAGTGGGTGGGGGTGTGTTGATGATATACATTGATCGAGGAAGAGTGAGAAGAAATCAAGAGACATCATTAACTAACTTCCCACAAGACACCACAGCCACCATTGGAATCATCATCAGGGTCATGTTCATGCCACCAAACTTTTTCTTCAAACAATCCATCAACTAGACAGGTCTCTCTAATAATTAATACCAACAATCCCCAAAAATCAATCCCACAGTAAGACATACTAGACTCTCTACTTCCTAAACACTAGACATCACATGCACCTTGTCCAATTCCAATTGGACCCCCAAAATGTTTTTTTTTTTTAACGATTAAGGTGTTTCTGTCTTAGTTTTTTTTTTTTTTTTTTTTTTGGGGGGGATAAGAATTTGCTTAATTTTGTTTTTTTAGGGTAATTTTTGTTTAATTTAGTTAAATAGTGATAAAGTAAATATTTCATCAACAAAATCTCTATTATCAAAATATAAGGAACATAGTATTTAGACATCAAAAATAACATGTATATATATATATATACACACATATATATCTGTATGCATTTACATGTATTTTTATGTATGTATATATGTAATATCGCTCAAAGATTCGAACTAAGAAAAATAGTGGAGAAAAAACTATAGCTCCCCTTAAAATTAAAAGCAAATGACATGAAAAGGAAATCAATGAATTTGGTTGTGAATAAGCATTTGTTTGTGGCGTTCCAAATGATTGTATATAGAGCGAAAAGATCACAACTAGATTTGCCATTACTGTTTTTATTTATGGGGCTGTGTGTGTGTGTTTTGTTTTTTTTTTTTTTTGGGGGGGGGGGGTGTTAGGTGATGATTGAGCTAGTGAATCAAGCACCCACCAAATTATAAAACCTACTTTATTTCATAGTAACTTGATGATAATGAGTAAGTAGTTGATAGTGTCCATTTGGGCAATGAAGATCAACATGTTCAGCTGTCTAATGTTGACTGGTTTGGTCCACCATCTCAAAGAGTATCAAGACATAATTAGTCACCTTAGCAAGTAATTATTATAATAAAAGAAGCCAGCCTATTTCTGAATCTTCCACTCCTTCACCAACTTCCCTCTTTTTCAAAGTCACTTGATTTATTTTTTTTCTTCGATCATCGTGCTAGGATTTCAACGCAGAATATCCATTCGTTTTTTGGCCGCTCTGACGGATTTGTTTTGCTAACTATCTGACTCAAAGTGCAATCAAAAAATTATGAGTGTTAAGAAGAATTAGGTGTTTAAAATTTTGAATCACAAAGATAATTCTCGTCACTTGAGAATAAAATTATATATATCTTATACTTTTCGAACTCTACAAGGATAAACGTACCTTATATTAGATTACCCTCTCTATGACCATTCATATTACCTTTTTATGATGAGTTAGTAGAGTGACAAGCATGGGTGATAATTGCCATGGCAGCTACTTCAGAACAACTTTGTGTTTGGACAGTGCAAGCCAGGGTAACACTTGATGTGATGAGTCTGTGGCATGAGCATGAAGGTGTGAGAGATGACAATCATCCCAAGCACCTGGTGACAGACTAACACTATAAATCTCAAAGTTCCAATAAAGTACTATGAGAAATTAGACTTAGAAAGTTAATTTTGTTGCCAAAGTGTCATTCTGCAACAGGGTAATTAGTAGCCATTAGAAAGTAATTTTGATGATGCTATTCATCTATATCATTTAAATCTTGAGATTAGAATCCACTCTAATACTAGATTTTCTCCATTCTCTTAATCCTATATCATTTAACATATACTAGTGAGGGACTTATTTAAATACAATAAATTTCACTTTGATTCATAGTAGAATTTAGTATTGAAAAGTTCTCTCAATCAAAGACGTAATCATAATAACCCTCACTAGCTAGAAAACCTATCTAACTGCACCTACACCAGAAAAAACTCCTAGTTATTATAAAGAGTAAAAAACACATATATAATTGAGTTTTAACAATATTATACAGACATCTTCTGATATTTTATATAAATAATATGGAGATCTTCTGAGGTTTAAAACGCATTGCACCGAGACCCTTTTTGTCTCTCTTCTGTCAATGTTGTTAATGCAAAGTGATGATTTCATCTTAAAAAAATTTATCATTGTCCCAATTGCCTTTCTCTAAATTTAGTACCCAAAAAAAATCAAACAAAATTTGATTTAGTATCTAAAAAATTGATATAATTTAGTACCCACAAAAAATGATTAAATGAATTTCAATATTAATTTGAATATAAATTAGACAAAATTAAATTTTAATTTGATAAAATTATATATTAATTTACAATATAACATTAATTTCATGTTGAATATTATTTGGTGTTGATTAAACCAACCCAAAATTGAAATTAAATTATAAATTTTTTGTTGTATATAAACTTAAAAATTTATATTTTAACCCATAAAATTTAAATACAATTTTTTTTTGTAGCATACCGTCTTCTTTTTTACTATATCACTTGATAAACTTTCTTTTGGTGAAGATTCGACCACACATACTTCAATCAAACCAATCGTTCACCTCCGCTCTCTTTTGAAGAGAATCGCTTATCTACGCTTGGTAAATTCAAAAACTTCTGGTTCACATGAAACCACATGAATAAATTAAAAAGTTGAAAAGTAAATTAAAATTTGATAGTTTAAAAAAAAATTAGTACCAAAAAAATTAATAATATTGTCAAAAATATAATCTAAGGTCAATCTCGTGTTGATTTGATGAATAACAAATAATATTCAACACCAAATGAATTTTAGATTATAAAATAATATTTAATTTTATTAGATTGACATTTAATTTTATCAAATTAATATTCAATTTTATTGAATTAATTTAATCAATTTTTTGGGGTACTAAATATAATCAATTTTTTGGATAATAAATCAAATTTTGTTTATTTTTAAAATTTTTTAATTTCTTTTTATACTAAATTTAGAAAAGGCCAATTGTGAAAATAATAAATTTTTGTGGGATAAAATCACTAGTTCTTATTAGCAACATTGACGGAAGAAAGATGGAAGAGATTTCAAACTTTAAAAAATTTCCGTATTATTTGTAAAATATCAAGAAATGTCCATGTAATACTTACCCAAGACATCCTAAGCCGTAGCCAGATCGAGCATCATCAAACTGACAAAAGTACAATAAGTAATACAAGCTCAAATAAGTTCAAAGTCCAAACTCTACAGGTGATAATGCAAATCACATCCAAATGATAGTGATTAGAACAAAATTTCTTTATTTTTTTTCCTTTTTCACCAGCATAGTATATCAGTAAAACTAATTGTATGTATTCTCAAGATCAGTATCTGAAACAGGTCTCACAGAAATAAAAATTATACATAAGCTTGATACATTTCTTAAACAAGAAAGCTCACACAGCTCAGTACTGTTTCTAAAAATCATAAACATTCCCATCAAAAATATGTCTAAAAGATCCCACCGATACAAAACTTAGTAGGAAACAAATAAGAAAATTTCTCAAACTCGGATTACTCCCTCAAACATTCCTAGGCATGATCTCGCTCGAGCCAGTACAACAAATTTAGGACACCTACGATGGGGATATGGATCGTTTATTGAGCATTGATGTGACCTCTGGCGGCCATACAATGAGAACAATGGAGTACAAAAAAAGCCGATGAGTTAGGCTTGCTCTCCAGAACAGATCTGCTTCATTCATATCCTGAATGGTTGGTTGCCTGAGCTGGATTGGTCCCTCTTTGTCTTTCCTAGTTTTGCTTTCTTGGTCGCAATCTCTTGGAATGGATTTGGCCCACCAAAGTCATGCTTAAAGATTCGAACTTTCTTCCTCTTTCCTCGGTCATATTCTTCATCCCTGTTGGAAGTTGAAAATTGCACATCTAATATAAATACAAATTAAAATGAGACAGTTTATTTAAAAAGCCAGCAAAGGGTTAAGTTTTATCAGATTGCGCCTTTTGACAAGAAACCTATATTACTAGAGGTGGAGCTATAATCTATTTCAACACTACCAATCGCCAAAGATTCAGCCTTACCTTTTATATGCCAATGCCTAGGTGTTCTTAATTGCACATAAGACATTTTTATTGCACAAACTTTCACAAATTACTACCTACTCTAGCGATTCATAAGACAACATACCATACTACACTCCCCAACTCCCGGTCTGCTAGATAATGAAACTGAAAGTTCCTAAAAAATTGCATGAAGGTTTGACAGGTGAAATTATTCTCTCTTAAACCCTAATGCTGCTTACCAATGAGATCAAGCTCAAACATCAAGGACTTCCTCATAGGCGGAAGCTTGGTGAAAGACTTCAGGTTGGTGATCCATGTTGGGGGACTGGAAGGAGTGGGTTAAGATGAAGGGCAGTGTCTCTAATATGAAAGGGCCAAAATTAAAGTTAGCAAAAGGACTGGAAAAAGCCAAAAGCAAACGCCACGCATTGGCTAAATGTTACATGGTAGCTATATTTCCTCTACTCTATTCATCTAAAAACAGCATTTTACTTGGCCAACGGCCTAGGCTCTTCACATGCTTCAAGCAACAATGACAATTCCCAACTTGTGATAACACAATCCCACCTAATACAGTTTGTCTTGGGTTTTTTAATTAGGTTTCAGGAAACAACCAACTAAGGAAAAAGGTAGAAATTATATATCCCACACAAATCAATGGCTTATCCACTCATTCTCAATCAATAACTGATAGTAGTCATATTTCGTTTAAATACAATTGATTCCAAACTTTCTCTGAAGGGAACTCTTAATACTACCCCTTTTTTTCTCGGGGATAGATACCTATTCTAAATCGCAAAACTATGAAATTTTACTTTTAATGGTTTTAAGCACCAGGCATACAACCTTCCTATAACGAGGTTTTTATATTATTCACAATAACTTACAAAATGACAGAAAGTGATACAACTGTTTAGCATTAAAATATACATAAATAAAATATCAATTAATTTTTGAACTTTAGAAGAATAAGCACTGCTGAGTTGAATTCATCTAGTGGTTATGGGTTGGTTCAGATGACACGAGTCAACTCCAGTAATCGAGATAATAATATTCTGTTGAAATTTAATGCTAGACTTAATTTGAATCCTACTGGCAGTGATTGGCCACCAAACTGTTGTCATCATAAGCAGTGACATTATCTCTACATAATGCCGAACTCTACCCAAATAAACATGGTGCACTTCTACTCACCATTCATCCGCAACATAACCAATGCTGACGCTCTCCACACCACTTGGCTCAGGAATCTGAGATGAAGGCAATTCCATTTCATCCCAACGTCCAACTGCAATCAACCATATAAGGCCAAGTGAAAAAAAGAAATAGAAAAGGACCATGGATATCCAATACATCAAATGAAAAGAAAAGGCAAAATGGGACATGAAAAATTCAGTGACTACTGAGATTTCAGAAGTTTAATGCTGCATAAGACAGAGCTCAATGGGGGCTTCCAAACAATTACTCACCGATAGTCTCCTCCAAACCTCTAGTAAGTATATTCATCAAGTCTTTCTGCATCAATTGTCTTCCGCTGTCCTTTGAACTATAGGGTATTCTAGCATCTGAGTGGTTTACTGCAGAAGCAGCACTAGAACTCTTTTTCGGTTCCACGTTAGATGCAAGCACAGCATCATTCTGACAAATTCTCTCCTTAAACTTTTCATCAATAGTACTTGAACACAGGTTGCTGTTAGTGTTTGTAACATCCTTTGCAACAACACTTTTATTTTTCTTATGTGTCCTCGATTTCACCCCTTTTTGTTGAGATTGAGCTGAACCACCCAGGGGGATGGTCTTGATTTTCTCAGAAGTTGATGGTCCAAGATCCATCGTGATACCTTCCCTATCCAACAACTGTTCCTTACTGAGATTTTTGATTTGTGAAGACCGTTGTTTGCTGCGTTTGTGTTTTTTCTTTTTTGGCAGGCTTAATGATGTCCCAAAAAGTAAGGAGGATCCAAGGCGCATGCTTCTAATCTGACTCATCAGAAGCTTCCTTCTCAGTTTTTGGCGGGGTTTGCTATCAAGAGCTGTGATTGGTAGTCGTGATGAGTATGATGATTCAGTCCTCACCACTCGCCGACCAATATCACCAGCCTTGTCATGGAGTGAATTACTACCATCACTCTCTTTGGAGAAGCCTCCAATCTAAAGGAAAATACAATGGGGAAAAAGAAAAAAAAAATCGTTCAGACTTGATAAAGAAATCATACTTGAAGTGTTAGTTTCTTGAGAATAGAGGTACTTACGGCATCATCTTCCCTGCTTGTATGATTTGACAACCTCACAGAATCAATATACTTTGATGCTTTTTCATTAGGATCCAATAGTGCAGCTTTATTATCATTCTGAACACAAATAAAAGTGCATAGTATATAAGATGAGAATTAAGATGCATTTTCAATCCAAGCAGAAAGAGTAAGAAACAAGTTCATCGGAACACAAAATATCCAAGTACCTTCCAAGAGGAAGCATTCTCTGTGATACCCCCATTTATGGGGGATATGTGAGGAAGATTGCAATTAGGGGGCATGGTAACCGTGTCCCTTAGATCTTCCTTGATAATTTTGTCCTTGTTGCAGATGGATTGTATGGTAACCGAGTCACCCAAAACTTTGTTTGCAACTGAGGTCTGGATGCCATTACAGTTTGCTGGCACAGCAACAGGGTCACTCAAATCTTTCTCCTTATTTCTCTCCACATAACAGCCAGTGATTTTAGCACCAGCTGTTGTTATCATAGCACTATCAAGTTTATATTTGTCATCAAAACCTTCAACAGCTGAAATTGATCGTGGCAAACCTTCTCCCCCATCAAGGTTGGGAACAGAAAGGCCCTTCATTGAATCCTTTAGTGGTGGCACCTTTGGCAAAGAGTCACTGTTCAGCGATGACCACACAGCCATTGTCGGCCCATTGTTTTTCTTGGAAGAGATTACTTTCCTTGGGGCTTCCTTTGATGCTGGTGCATTTAATACACCTCTCTGAGCCGCAAAAGAGTTCAGGGCATTCAATGTATTCTCAAATGGCCCATTTTGAACAGTTTCCTTTGATCCCTGGTTGCAACTAAAAGATGGTTTATTTCCCATAGCATTTAGGGCCATGCTCTGTTTCTGAACATCATCACTAGGCTTCTTCGAAGCAGATGTTTTTCTATCTCGAAAATAGAACAACATGTAGGCCTTCTGCTCCAAAACCTTCCTCTCATTTACTTGGACAACCTGACATATTAGGTTCACAGAATCACAGGTTCACTCATTGAATAAATCAAACCTCTCATGATTAAAGACGCATGGTATATAAGTCTCAGTAGACACCAGCAAACACTACAATCAAGTAAATGTGGCAAGTAAAAAAATCAAATCCTCAATGTTTAAGATAACTTTTTCAGAAACAAATTCAAGTGGCACAATTTAAGGCCAAAGACTTTAATCTCTAAAAGATGATAATACAGGGTTTAGGTTAAATCACTTGGCATCCATTAAGCTGAAAATAACTTCGATGAGACATGTGGTTGTGAAATAAAAATGCATCCTTATCCAAAAAAAAATAAAGAAATAACAATGCATCAATCTAGATCCCAAATGCAAAGTTCAAACTGGTAGTTAAGAAACAGAAAAGGAGTGTTTTAAATCGTGTCAATATTTAATTGGGGCCAAAGATATTAATCACCGAAAGATGATAATATAGGGTTGGTAAAATCACTTAGCATCCATAGAGCTGAAAATAACTTCAATGAGACGTGGTTGTGAAATAACAATGCATCCTTGTCCAAAAAAAAAAAAAGAAATAACATTGATCTAGATCCAAATGCAAAGTCCAGACCTTAAGAAGAACTCCTGGTAGTTCAGACACAGTACAGGTGTGTTTTAAATCTTGTCAATATTCAATGTGGGCTTCAAAGAGGGAGTCTAAGTTACTAACTATACTGTGCAAATTAAGATGGTTGTTTTCAGGGAGCCGCGCAGAAGAAATAAAAATCTGTGCCAGCGCCGCTGATAATGCAGAAAGACAGGCTTCTGGGGTGATTCTGTAACCGCAGGCAGCACAGCCAACTTATCAGCCAGCGCCGCTGATAATGCAGAAACACAGGCTTCTGGGGTGATTCTGTAACCACAGGCAGCACAGCCAACTTAATGATGACCAAGGATGAGATCGCACGAGACCACCTCAATTATCATGCGAACATAGCGGCCCTAAAATACCTTCTGCACGATCTTAAAGGTGATAAACGTCCATTTTGAGACCACAACCCATAGCGTAGCACTTTCTCACTGATTAGTGAGATAAGTGTTACATTATCCTAAACCCTAAATGGTATTGTACACAGAATAAAATGACCCATAAAGAATGTACCACATAGAGTGAAATAGATTCAATTTGCATATATTTTTGTTCTTTTAGTAGGTAAAAGATTCATACTGCTTATGATGGAAAACAAACAACGGAAACAGAAAATCAACAAGTAATAAAGTCATCAACTATGTACAGTCTGATCAAGTAACCACTTATAAAATACCCATGACTAAAGAGCGCATAGGGAGAATGAAGTTATCTTAAATACCCGATTGTCATCAAGGGAGTACCACATGCCACTTGAAGTACGAACAAAGCAGTAATAGTGGCCAGAATGGGTGCTCCAACCAGCATGAACCAGGACACCATAAAGAGTGTACTTCAAATCTTCGTCCTGGAATATATGAGAAACAGAGAGAAGATCAATAACCATCACAACTAAAAGAAATCTCACATAGGGAAACTCAAAAAGGGAAGTTGAACAAAAAATTGCTGCATGTTAGATATGGAGGGAAAAAACATCTCATAAATGGTTATCACTGCCATTTAAGAGATACCAAACATAAATAAGATTTACTAGGTAAATTATAATAATCTAGATCACAGAATGAGTTTGAAATATTAGTGAATTTTCATCTCGGCCTGAGTTTTGTAATGCCATAGATTTTTTTATTTTTATTTTTTGAGAGGAAACGATATAATATTAACTGAGAAAAGAAAATGGTACATGATAGGACAAGAAATCCTCAAAGAAATACATGAAGAAAGAAGAAAAACCCTAAACAAGATCAAAAAATACAACAATAATAAGATGAAAATATCAAGTGTTGTCCTGATCCGCACACTTGAGCCCAATGATCTTTAATTAAAAATAAATGAATTCCTTCAAAATCCTTGGACTTGGACAGCGCTCCTTTTTAGAGAAGCGCATTGATACTTGGTTCCTTATGTGCAATTAAACATGCAAAAACTTGTACCTTCAAAGGTGCCTTATTCTAGCAAACAAAAGGTGGTCCAAAGAATGAAAAAGATGGTTTAACAATTAAGGAAGCAAAAAAAGATTTGCAAGAGTGATTGCAAGAGTGAGTAATCAATAGAAGAGGAAATGATCCAACTCCTTGGATAGGGGACAATTCATCCACTTCTCTATCTCGCAAGTTTCTAAAGAAGTTCAAGTTCAAACTAATGAAGGAGGAGAACGAGGATACCATACTAGCTATAGATGAGTTATGAGACCTATACAACCGATATAAACGACGAAGAAACAAAGATGCGAACAAACAACAACCCCCCCCCCCCAAAAAAAAAAAAAAAATTTGATAGGGCTCAGCTTTCATCCTAACAGAAGCTTATCATCTAAAGATGAATGTACAGACAACAGCAGCATGAAAATTGTGGATGCATGAATATATTTAACTTACCCGTGCAATGAATATAGCAAGGAGCACATATTTTAATTTTTTTTTTTTTTTTGACTACAAACAACATGTTCATTGGTTCTGTCCAACCAAAGCAAAGTAAAAGGATCTGAAATGGTTTCTCCTTAAATGGCAACTGCCAGAAAAACAATGGGTGAACTATTCAGGAAATCCCAGACGACATAGAAACACAGATGAAAATACCTAATTTCCCCAAGGGTTTCTAATTTATTGTCACCCTCCATCGCTGAATTTATTTTCGGGGACAATCCATTTTATGTATATAGATTTAGTTATACATCTATTCCTCTTAGCTGCACTGAAATCTGATGCATTTTAATGCTTAGGACAGTAACACGGAGTACAATGGAATCAAACTTGTAAGTACAACTACAAAACAAAAATTCTACTCACATAGGGACCAGTGACAAAAGGCTTTAAGTTCAATGTGGGGCCAAACTGGATTTGTTTGTCAATCTTTTGTCCCGTTATTTGTGAACCAAACCGCTTTAGGTGGATGGTAAGTACATAGGGTGCCTTATGAATGGTAAGCTGTTTGAGAGCCTTCACTTTCTGTTTGCACTGCTGGCACTGGTACTGCCTCGCACCTCCATCTAACTGCTCTTTGGCAGTAAAATGTGCAAGTGCCTTATGCAAGGAATCTGCCTTCACAATTTCAAGACTTAAATCTAAGAATGGATCAAACTTGTTGGAGCAGAAGGAACACTGCATGCATTTCACCTGGAGAAAATAAAACTATCAACCAAATTGAATATTGAAGCATCAAACCTTGGAAAATTATGACAGTGCTGTCCACCAGACCAACTGAAAACTTTTCCCAGTTCCTTCATAACATATTTCAAACGAACTACAAAATTTCTGAATTATCCCTAAAGGCACATGTCTCTCCCTCAACTTTCATCTGACAGGAGCAGAGACACCAAGCAAGCTATACAACTACCTGACTGCGGAGGCGACCACCAAAAATCTTATGGACCAAACTTTTCTCGTAGGCACTTGGCGATTCACTTGGCACTCCTGAAGGTAAACAGCATTTGTGCATTGACTCCAACAAATTTACCATATATTCATGGGCATCCTCCTGTCTGGCATTTCGAAAGCTCCGAGAGATGCCTAATTATAAAGTCAAGGACTTCAAATTCGGAAAACCAAAAAAAGGAGAAAGTATCGCATAAGGAACCCACAAAAATATATTTCCTTGGGCCTAGTATAAAAGGTTCAACAGTGAAAAGTGGCAATTAAAGAAAGATTACAATCATCTCTAATAAAACTTCAAAAAAAGTGACCAGCAATAGGATACACCGCAAGTTCGAGACAAGATCCTTTGGTGCCAGTATTCTCCCAGTTGATTGTAGAGCACGAGTTACATGTCTTTGGATGGCACATAAGGCACAAAATCCAGCAGTACGGCCTTCATGTAGCAATACAAAAGGAAAATTAAAGGAATGAGAAATATGGACATCCATTCAACATAAACAAGGTGATAACAGGAACCAAAATAAAAGGGGCCAGATTAAAGGATTCATACATCCAAGGATAAACGACAAAAAAATTTTAACAGCGGTACTAGTGGCATCAAAGTTGATTACTTCGCATAAAACCAATAACAAAGACATAAAGGTTAGAATAATAGCATGGACATCTTTCCTCATACAAGTGTCTCACACCAAATATTGAGCTAAAACCTAGTTCCAGGTTCAACCCTATTGCAGTGATGTGACAACTGCAGTCAAATCATAGACATCTCCCTCAAAATTCATTTTGCATCATGAAGCGAGCTATTATCTCCTTCCCCAATTTCTCCCCAGTCTAAATCATATTCTTTTTACTCTGCAGATAATATGATCAGTTTGTCTGCCAGAATAGATAATCTAATCCACAACAGTACAAGTGGATTTTACCAAGCCACATTGAATGAGCTCATAGCCACAACCAAACTGCATCAGGCCCTAGATCACAATGCAGTTGAAGAAAAGAAGTCATTATTATGCAGTCTTCTGAACCTATATTAAGTAACAAATTCTTCATATTATGGGGTGCATCAATTGGGACATTCGGTATCCAGAGCAAGGAAAGTCAAGGTGACACAATTAGACAATTATCCCCATGGAAGCCATCGTGAAAGAGTTATGTTTCGAGCAGCATTTTAAACTCGAGCTTTAGTCCAAGACCTAAATCATCTTAAGCAGTAAAACCAATTGAATGATCTTTATAAAATTTTAAAATTAAAAGCACAGAGCAACCCATAATTGATAATCTAACAATCAAACGCTTCATAAAAATAATTAACTTTCTGCGATGGTTTACAAGAATGGGATTCATACACATAAACATAAACATAAACAGCACAACACAAATTATGTATAATGATTCTATATGAGACTCAAGCATTGAAGGAACGAAGTCATCCTCTATATAATTATGGTTATCACTTTGACATGTAAAATACACATGAACATGACAATGACTACCCAAGCTTTTCAGTTCGTGCTGAATTCTGATCAAAGTGATTCCTTAACTCAACAGGTTACATAATAGCACCATTTTGCAAAACCAATTTCATTCAATATTTCAACTATAGATGCTATCATCCAAACTGTGATAATATGAGAAATGTGTCTGCAGACTGCAAGTAAATACATTTATTGTTTAATTTTCACAAAAAGGAAGCTGAAAACTTGGATTGCCTACAAACGCATAAAACCCACCCTAGGCAGATCAGGAACAAATTTGCGGTCTAGATAGAACCATCACATAGCCGAACACTTAAAAAGAGGCATTTAAGAAAGAACATTAAGAATCTAATTGAACAGGTGGAGAGGAATGATAATCGTGGGATATGCCTCATACTTATAAATGTGCTAGCATGTCTAAAACTTAGCCAATGGAGAACTTCAGCCCATTCCCAACCACACAAATAAAGCCCAAGTTAAAGACTGGGTTTGACACGATTTATAATTGGGCTCTCATCCTTGGGGACCATTTGATGGTAAGATGCAATGTACTAAAAGCAATTTAAAGTCATTACTCAATTTGGTACCTATTAAATGGGATTCTAGGAGACCAAACCATTTGGCTGCCCTCATATTCAAACCTACAACCTCACAGTTGTACACCCAAATTTTTGGGATTTCAATTCAACAATTTGCACTAGGGACTATTGGGCGACACTAGGAAAGCAATTTTTTTACGGTAAAGATTTTGGTGCAACAACACTTTTGATCAAAGCTCAAACTTAATACTTTTGGAACTTATTTTACCATTTTAGGTCAAACATTTTTTAGTTCTATTTGTAATGGACTAGTCAACCCCTTTCATTCATGAGTTAGGGTTTTAAAAGTCGTCCTAAACAAATCCAACTTTTCAACAGCCAGCGCTCTTTCTACAGCTCTAATAAGAAAGCACTTCAATAAAAGATATAGCTGCACCAAACAGGCACTTTATCAAGTTTTGTGAGATTAGATCCCGCATCATCTGAGTTTAGGTTCTTCTGTCACATAGTGCTTATCTTATTCAGTTCCACTACAATACACTTTACTGCAACGTTTGGTATCATGTAGGCAAGGGATGTGTACTATGGATTGAGAGAGAGAGAGAGAGAGAGAGAGACTCACAAGTCGTTTGGTGCTTCCCAGTATGTAAATATGTTGCTAAAGGCTCTGTGTATGTAAGACATTGTAATACTGAATTGAGAAAACAAGTATTTCCAAGATTTTCCAAACCAGCACCCTGTAAATTATTCAAACTGTCCTCAGTTAAGATATCAAACATCTTAAAACTAGATTAAAATTGATCACTGTTCGAACAAAAAGTGAAAATAAGCACACCCACCCACACACCCTCTCTATGCATAAATTTGTTCATACAATAACGATCCATCAACTTGACATTAATCGATGAGACTTCATATGCAATGATGAAAGGTGCAAAAAATGCATCAGAAGATGAATCAGTTAAAATCATCCAGGTAAAGAAATAAATAAGGGTGAACTAAAACTCGATACAGATGCAAGCCATCAAGCACCTATAGATCACTACTAAAACAAGAATAAGAATCAACCTCCATTGTTCAATCATGTTTGATTTGGAGAGGCTATGCCCACCCTAAATATAAATCCCCATCCGGTTAAATTTGCTCATATCAAAACAACTATTCCCGCCTCATTCTATATTGACCCATTAATGACCAAATCATCCATTATATACACTGCAGTACATTAAATGTACCTTTACCACTCCATTATATACACTGCAGATCTATAGTATATTTATCTTCATATTTCTCTTGCCAAGGGTTTCTTTTATGGTTCAAAGCATCGACCAATACCAATACAAGTCGCCCGAGTCGTATCCGACTCAGCACCTTCCAAAACGATACCTTTACACGATACGTATAAACCTCGAGTCTCGCATGTTTCGGCCGAATTGTATCCTAATTAATTCATAGTTGTCGAGTTATCGTCATCGAATTGGCTGATATGATTCCACGATACCGCAATATGACCTGAATCTCTTGTCATATCGAACGTTTTCTTTTAAGTCATATCGCCTGATACCATGCCGCAATGCCACGGTCAATGTATCTTAGAACTCTTCGAGTTAATGGCCGCTACTACGACCTTGAACCATGGTTTCTTTCCCTATCCTATCTCAACTAACCACATCGTCTGAGTAGTTTTTTTTCTATCGAAGGAGTCCTACAAACTACCTAAGCAGTTTGTGTCCAAGTGGAAGTGTCCATATGCTTCCAACCATATGATGGAAACCATTGTAAAGTGTTCGTCCCTAAAATTTCAGGTCTCGGAAAGAGGGTCTATGCAATATAATGCTCATTGCATGAGGCAGAACCAACTTACAAGTCTGTGCTGTATACTATGACTCTATTACATTATGTCAATTCAATGTGACTTTTAAGTTCATCAAATCAAATTCTAAAGAAGGAAAGGGAGAGAAAGAAACCTTGGGGTTAGATCGTGGGAATAAATGGGAGTGAGAATAGTATACACTTAAGCAGTATATAGTAAGCTAGGAAGAATATGGTTAACATCTTAACGGGGAGGGTGTAGACTGTGCAAACAACCAACTTAGTCGTTAATGGGGTAGGCACAATAATTCTAATATTATGGAGTTTAATAGGGTGGGAATGGATATTTTGGTAGTGTAAAAAAGAATTTGAAGAAGTAAGTGGTTCATTACAAGACAATTCTGAAATGACCCGACTGAAACTTTTTTCTTTTTATTTAACAGATAAAGCTAAATAGTGGCTAAAGTCTTTAAAAGCTCAATCTATTCTAAGTTGGCAAGTTTTGCAGACTAAATTTTTCAAGAAATTTTTTTCCTGAATATCATACTAATGCATTGAAACGTCAAATTAAGAATTTTTGTGTGAAATAAGCAAAAACTTTTTATCAATGTTGGGAGAGATTTAAGAATCTTCTACAAGTTTGCCCACATCATGCATTTGAAAGTTGGACCTTAGTTGGCTTCTTCTATGATATCCTCTCGTCCACAATACGTCAATTTGATGAAATGATGGCCTAGAAAGAATTCATGGGTAAGAATCCTGATGAGGTATTTGAGTTTTTTGATACCATATCTGAGAGTTCTCAAATATCGGACTCGGCCTCACTAAATATTGTTAAAACAAAGTCATCTTCATCCTAGGGAAGAAAATACATGCTAGAAAAGGATGATGACCTAAGGGCTAGAATAGCTACCTTGTCTCGAAAGCTGGATGCTCTAGAGATGAAAAAAGGCAAGGAAATTTCTATTGTGTCACCCACGGATCAATTGTGTGGAATATGTGCTTTGTCAGGACATCCCACGGAGGAATGTCCTACTATTCCAGCCTTAAGAAGTTTTGATGGAACATACTAACGTTGTTTCAAATTATAACAAGCAACCTTTCTAATTTTGGGTGATACAGAACATATTATCACGTGAACCATAATTGTCATGCACAGTCCCTTAATATGTGGTCACATGACTCTGTGGGGTTGACTTGCTTCAGTAGATTGAGATCAAAATATAGAAGAGCTCAACACAAGCTTCAAAACATATAATAGATAAAATCTAAAATCAAGTATAAATAGCTGCAAACCTATAACAAAAAGCATTTCACAATCAGGGGAAAAAAGCCTAAAATCAAACAGATGAAGAATGACAATAGTAAAAACCTAGTAATTCGAAAATAACCTAAAGCAAGGCCTTTAAACCAATAACAGCATAAAATTGTAAAACATCACTCAGTAAACAAGGCTAGACATGACTCAAAATGAAATGTAATCAATATAATGCACGCCAAATCAAAAAAATCAAAGCCAATTAACACTTTCACCACCACGCATTCAAACAAAAGAAGAAAATCCAAAGTCAATATTACTGGGAACTTCAAAATTTCCCAAATCATTTGAAACAGACATAAAAAGTGAAACACCCACCAAACAACTAAGAGCATGCACAAAGTTAAATTAAAAATAAAGGAAACCAAGCCCAAAAAAAAAAAAAGAAAAAGAGAAGTCAATGATATTCTTAGCTGATATTTCAAAAGATCAATATCAAACTGTATGAGAACAAAAAAAAAACAAACACCCAGTAAAACCTTCAAAAAATTTACAAGACAATAACATAACTCCACAATATCCACTAAAAAACCGAGTACTAAATCCGACGCATTTATATATGATAATCTACGGCTATTCAAGAGACATAAGAATCCGTGAGTGTGAAACATAAAGATAGAGATGCCCATAAGTAAGACTGTCCAAGTTGACAAACTCACAATTCTCCTGAAAGTAATCCCAGAACAGAGCTCCGGATCCACCCAATCTCCGTAGACTCTGGCCCATCAGACTTCTTCCCAGATGTGTCCAACCCATCTGACCTCTGGTGAGCCTCCACTGACCTCATCGGATTCAAAGTCTCCAGCTTGAAATCGCCGCCGCCATTACTAAACCCAGTAAAAGGCTTCCTCGCCAAATGAAATTCGATCCTCCTCTGAAACAAAGGAGAAGAAGAAAACCCATTTGAATATGAGATCGAAGGGAAAGATGACCCATATATGGTTTTCCCATTGGATTGTGTGGAATTGGTAGCTGTTTCAGCCATGGGAGATGTCAACAGATTGTACCCTTCTTTGTCTCCTCCTCCTATATATACATAC